CTCATAGGAAGTGTCACCCAAAAATTTCAGAAGACATATTTCACATAATGAACTGTAGTTTATAACTTACAAACAACTGAATGAAAAATGTAAGTAACCATATGTTTCCACAGGTTCAGACCCTAAACTGGAACAGGAGAAAGAGGTAAGTCTGAAACTGATTTCAAAACATTAAAAAACAAACAAAATGCTAAACACAGCAGGTCTAGTAAATTAAATATACATGTATTATACATATTATATTTTTGTATTTTCATTTGTAGCTTATTAAACTTTCTTATTTGTTCTATACTCATTGTGTATGAGGTGTGTTTTCTGTATTTCTGTAGGAGCAGGATGGTGAAATGATGAACTATGCTGCTCTAAACTTTTCCAACAAGAAAAACAAGAGATCAGAGAGACGTGTAGAAACAGAGGATACACGTGTTGTTTATTCTTCTGTAAGGCAGTAATGTTTGATTTGAGTAAACATACATATGGATTGTGATTTGATTGTGATATTTAATCAGACGGCTCAGTGAAAGCTGATGCTCCCATTTCTATGAGTTATCTAAAGTATACTGTAGTAAAATCTTATGATCATGTTGCTGTTACTATATAATATAATATTAATGCTGTTTATATCATGTAGACTGTGTGCTACACCTTTAGATTTACTCCACACACGACCAGCAGTGATAATAATCTGGTTTCATTTTAAATCCACTGCTGAAATGGCTGATCACCAGGGTTGCGTAGTAACAGAATACATGATGAAAAAACATAATATAAAAAAAGGGTAATTGGAATCTATAACAGTAAAAAAAGAGTAATCTGATTACAGTTACACCACAAAAACAGGGTGAGATCTGCAGCGCTTTCCTGAAGATATCTGAATAAGTCATTTAAACGTTTTGTTTTGCTGATTTAACAGCAGCAGACTGATCTGATCTGATCAGACAGTAAACACTTTATTCTACAGTTTGACTGGCTATAAATCAAACTTCTTATAACCTTAACCGGACAGATTTTAACTAACAGTCTGTAACGTGAGAGAACGAAGTCTAATGAACAGCAAAGTTGGTTTCGTTTTCACTCTCCGATTTCTTTCTTCTGTAGTTTTCAAACTACGGTAAAATCAGATTTATTTTCAATATTTTTCTTTTCAGCACTAATAACTTTAGTTTTTTTGGCACAAACCTTTGTGAGCTACTAGGTATTAGAGTGGAGTTCAATTCTCCACAAAGTTCAGAGTAAATGACACAGTTATTCAGATGTGTATAGACACAGCGGTTATGGAGTTATTTTTTCCAGAGTGACCCATAGTGCTAACGGTAACAATAAAATATGTATAAAATTGCACTGTAGTGATTTAGAGGAAAACAAAATGAATGTATTTTGTTCTGATTGGAAATGTGGTCTCAGTTTTAGGTGTTAACACAAAAAGAGGAGTACATTAAATATCAGCCAAACCACAAAAGAAAGATGTTTATCACGCTCTGTGATCGTCCTGTGTTGAAAATGTCTTTACAAAGTCTTTACTGGCTACCAAACTCGTTCAAAAGTTTAGCACTGAAAAGATGAAAACTTTCCCATGGTAGTTCACCAATGATGGGTTAATCTTAAGAGTGTAAATTAAAAGACAATCAGCTCACACTGAAATGAATGCCTTTCTAAATTCATAGAACACGTTGATTTCTAAGGGCTGCTGAAGGCGCTGAGAGCTGATTAGAGACTGTCTACAAATTACAGTCATCAAAATTCAAGCATGAAGCACCAACATAAAGCCTTATGAGCCGTTCAGCCTTTTAGCAGATAGAAAACACATAAGAGTCGGTCAGAGTTTAGACTGACCTGTATTTATGTTGATGAGGAGTCTCAAAAGATTCTACCAAACTGATCAAGGAAAAGTTCCAGGAGACCAGAATAGTTTTAAATATTTAGTATTTGATCCAATGTACTGGATTATTCTACACCGATTACTTGTTCCACTGTGGTCTCAGACCTTTTAGTCTCAGTGTACCAATCTGTTAAAATCACTCAGCTTTTTCCTGGGAAGCAAAGTTTGATTTCTGAGCTCAATTTCTGAACTTTGAACTGTGTGTAGGCCATTTCACTAAATGTGAGCTCAGTAACTGTTTCTGTGATGCACAATATTTAATACATCTACAGTCTCATTCTGTTTCATAAAACAGTGTCGTTTTGGTGTTTGACGCATGTTAAGTTAAACTCTTAGTGAAAAGTCTTGTTGATTTTTTCTCTTTTCTTTATTGAATTTTATTTCTGCTAGAAAGACTCAGGAACCAAGAAAGTGAAAGAGGATTTTTTTTTTTGGCTAATGCAACCTAAATTTTAAAGAACTCATATTGAAAACAGACAGAACTGATGTTTAAACAGTCAGTATTTCCAAAGGGGTTTTATAACTGTACGCTATAGTATTTTCATATTAACAGTCTGGGCTCAGTTTCCCAAAAGCATCTCAGAGCTAATTTGTTCATTATTTGGGCTTGCAATTTCTTTTTTAAGCTAAAAAAAGAACAACAAAAAAATCATGGCGTCTGCACACGGCAAAATTCATGAAACGGCTCTCGCATGTATGTGAGTATTCAGTATACAGTAAAGTACTGTAAAATATTTGCTGAGAATCTGAATCTTTTATAAGGTTATGGACTGTAGATGGTGAAATCCTTTAAATACCATGCAAACGTTTGCACTCAACTTTTTTGATGTGTTGCAGGCATCTAATGTGGAATATGGTAAAATATTAAATATCCATCTCACCTCTCAAAAAATGTTAATTAAAATGTAAATGTTATCACTGTTGTGCTATGATGGTGCCTTAAACTTAAAAAGAGCTACAGGAGATACAGGTACGCTAATGTGTAATATATTGCCCAGCATGATTTAATTTCTCTGCAGTGATTTTCTCAGTAATAGTTTGCTATAAAAGTGCAGTTCTTCTAATCATCACACTGCATCCTTTGGTGTCCTGTACTTTTATTCTCAAAACAAAAATGTACTGCAACTTAAGGCCTTAAAAACATTAAGAAGAAGAAAAAAACAGGATGTGATGTGTTTTTGCTACATTTCATATCCCAATTAGAAAATATTCTATATCTTAGTGGCAGCATAGAGTTTGTTAAGTAAATAGCAGTATTATAGGTAATAATCCACTGCAAACATGTGCTTACAGCTCCCCCTTGTGGAGAAACATTAGCTCACTAAACCAGGATGAGACGCTTGGCATTTAAAACCCGTTTGACGTTTGTGTCTTTCATACAGTTATAATAAGAGGTGATGAGTTTGATTGAATAAGTGTGATTTCTTTGTGTTTTGGGTGTTTGTATTTTATTAAACCTACACAATTATAACTCATACTGTACCAACTGTTCATGTCTTTGTGTGAAGTGTTTTCATACATGGCTCTGCTTAGATGTGGCCAGGATAGACTGGAACATAAATTCAGCCCTGGACTTCCATCTAGACCAGCCCACTACAACCACTGTGACCCCAGTAACCCCATCATCTCACACATTAGTCTGTCAAAAATGAGGATCTGTAGTTTTTATATTCTAAGTGTAAATTGTCTTTCTAACGTTAACGTTCATCTAACATCAGCAGACGAGTCTGATCTCAGTCTGATATTACATATGATCTGTACAGTGAAATACCTGCTTCTCCTCTCGGTTAACGTTCATCTAACATCAGCAGACGAGTCTGATCTCAGTCTGATATCAAATATGATCTGTATGGTGAAATACCTGCTTCTCCTCTCAGTTAACATTCATCTGAGCGGCTCTCAAACTTTCACTCTGATCAACTTCTGACTGAATTTATACGAATGATTAAGTGTGTTTGATTAGTTATGAAATTTACTGCATAAATTAAACAGATTTATTTCAGATTTAGATCTGTGATATTATCATGTAGATCCAAGATCAATCAGATATTTAAACAGAAAAGATCTTTCCTGTATTCTCCTCCACTTAATCTCACTTAAAATCTTCACTAGGTTACATTTATCCAGGAATATTAATAAACCTTAATACTGCTTATTTGTAACTGATAGGCAGTGTAACATAACAGACATGAAGACATGAAAAGCAGTGACAGGGACTAGGCACACATTTATACAATATATATCTCTGTTTAATATCATTTGTGAAATTCTGCTTAAATCATGACTAATGCTGAGTGGTACAGAAAGTTCCAGACAGAGCTTCAGTTTTGAAATCAACTTGGTTAAGTCATTCTCAGTGGCCTGTGACACTGAACAGTTCCGTAAATGTGACTGGATGAAGGCCAAGGTTTATGAAACCCTGAGTGGGAGACTTTCAGGGTTGCCAACAGGGTGGAAAACCTCAGTTTTGGAGTTGATGTTAAAAGTGGAATTTATACAATCAGGGAAATAAAAAGCATTGACTGGTATTTCATTATGGTCAGGGTTCACCATACTTTTTTATTTTCCTTTATTTACATTTGGTTCTCATGTTGAAAGGTAAAATATTGTGGAAAATCTCACGTGCACTGAAAATTTGTCACAATTACAACTATTAATTATGTGAAGAATCACTTGCAATTATTCTGAGGCCACATTTTAAAGAATACCCTAAAAGTTTGTTTTATCCTTTGAGCACATTTCATGCTTCAGTCAATAATCACCTAGAAGTAGTTTCTTTTTAACAGATCGCGATTTACTGCAGTGATTATGTAACTGTAAAAGAAAATTGGGTTGCAAGTATTTTACCCTCCAAGAGGTTGTTACGGCTGGGTTAAGGCAGACTGCATTTGCTGAATGACCTTATTTAGGCCTCTTCTATACTCAGAGTCCATGGAGAATGCAGGGAGGAGAACACGGGTAGGCAACATCAGAGGCATACCCACAATGCAAAAGCCAGAGTTTTATAGACACAAAACAAACTACGAAAAAGAAACAGGGCTCGGCTCTCAGTAGAAACACAGAGACCAAACAAAGGGGTATATATGAGGGAATAATTAGTCCAAATAATGATCTGCGTAAG